GGCCGTGGGCCTAGGCAGGGGAAGCAAGGCGGGCGGCGGGAGCGGCCGGAGGAGGGAGAGAAGCAGGGACAGAAACTAGACTTACTTTCAACAGAAGCAGCGCAGTCGCGTCTATCTTAAAGTAAGCAACCACCCGAACCCGCTCCCGCCCGCCGAAGGGAGGCAGGGCCCCGCCGCAGGCCGCGCTGCTGGGTGCAGTCAGGTTTCTTGGTTTCTTGTCATTCCCGTGTGCACCACAAGGCGGCCCCTGCGGGTCTCTGAGGGGAGGACCCCGCTGGGAGCACAAAGGAACCATCCCCCAAACGCCCTGTCCTGACTTCAGTGGAAAAAAGAAGGAAGTGTAATCCAAACCAGAGGCCTTTCTGCAATATAAACCAGAGCCTCCCTTGCAATATAATTATCTTCTTATCCAAAGGCTGGCCGACTGTCTTGCTGATGAAAGTTTAGCTTTGAAAGTGCAGCTGAGAACGAGAAATCCCCTTCACAAAGACACTTATGTTCTACTGCCGTGCACTCAGAGGTGCTGTTCACCTATGTGAAAAACAGCAGCTGGCAAAACTCCTGGACCCCTCTCCTCCCCGGTGCCCTCCAACTTTCCCTGTGGGGAGAAGGCAGAAGGACGCAGTGCCCTGAGGGTGGCGCGCTGGCCAAGGTGTCAGTGGGTGCACAGGCCCCGCATGGACAGGAAGCTACGGCGGAACCCCAGCCGAGCATGCAGATGTCAGAGGGGCTGAGAATTAGGAGCCGCTGTCTCGAAGCGCGGGCTCAATACCGAGGTGCTGATTTAGGGCTTCCCACCGTCTGGACTGGGGAAAAGGAGGAAACTCAGTGAGGCGCCTCTCACACTGTCAAATCCAACTGTCAAACAAAACGCAGACAAACCATCAGCTTTATTTTTTCTCACCTTTAAATAGGACTGCTTAGCACTTTCTCACTGAGCCTCAGGTGCCAACCCGGGGACAGGAGTGGGCCACAAGTCCTGTCTGCAAGCTGCGAAACAGCCATCCAACTGTCCAGCCACAAAGCAGTCTTGCCCTACTCCTTCTCTCACTTGTATCTGTAGGAACCTGTACTAGCTCACAGAGTAACAAGGACACGGGAATGCAGGGGTGGTCGTTCTGTGGTTCTTTTTAATACAAAACAGCATTTCAAGCTTTCCCAGAGATGGGGCATCCAGAGACAGGCATGGCAACAAGGGTGGGTACGAAGGGGCCCTGTGTCCCCCACACAGTCCTAACCCAGGCCTGGTCCTGGCTGGGTCAGGTCTTTTCCTCCTGCCACTTTCAGGACAAGAAAAGCTTCCCAAGAGACTGGGGCCATGAGAGTGGGTACTGCCAGAGATGAGCGCCAGACTCCTCGAAGAGGCTGGCGGGCAGTGCTGTCTTACTGACAAGTTCAGCTCTGGCAGTGTGGACGGGATGAGGCCATTTGCCAAGAGCCTGCAGAGTCCTGTAGGGAACACGCAGTTAGGACCCTGCCAACATGTGCCAAATGACACACGTCAACCCTACTTTCACAGCCTCTTTCACAGCCGTTTTTCTAAACTTTCCCAGAAGCTGCTTTTACCCAGCACACAGCAAGGCTGCAAGCAGATGCCGGCTCCCTGCAAACTGTGAGCACAGCCTCACGTCGCTGGCTCCGTCCCCATGGCGCCTGCTGGGCTCCTGCCATTTTCAGCAAATGCAAAGATGCCCTCGTGAACCACACAACGTGGGCTCTGGCTGAGGGGCTCAGTCTCACAGCACCGGAACACAGCCTACCCTGGTCCTGGGGGCCAATGCCCACACTCCAGAACCTCCGCTGGGAGGCGGCGGGGCTGGGGGCACTGACTCCTCCCCAGGTGGGAAGGGGCCTAGCCAGCCAGCCCTGGGGACATCTGGACATGGGACAGAAAGCTGCTTCCTCTCAAACGATTCTGCAGCTCGCACACATACAGTTTTTACATCTGATTCCAACAGATCTCTTAAGGTTTTTCATTACACGGCACGCTGAATATGCCAATGTTTTTCCTCCAGTGCTGGGCACGGGACTCCACCGCATTCATGCTACGAATGTGCTCTGCACTGAGCTGGGCTCCCTCCTTGACTTGGCTAATTCTGAATGCTTTCATTTTCCAAATCTCCCCAGAAGCTCCCTCCCAACACAGAGCACGGCGAGGCTGCACACCAGCTCTCCCAGACATCGAGGCCAGCTCTCATAAGGGAATCACTTCGACATGTCCACGCTGCTAGCTCCGTAAAGATGGTTCTCTTCCAAAGATTTAAACCATAACTCTGTGATAACTGGGACTTTCTTATGCTTTCAGCAAAACACTATAAACAGCTCGGGAAACCACAGGTCACGTGGCAGCCGTCCCACACCTCTCGGCAGGGAGCAGCCCCACAGGCCTGCAAGTTGTCACAAGGCCCAGTTGGTCTGAGAAGGGAGGGGACAGCACTCTTCCCGGCAGGGGCACAGGGGACGATGCAAGGACATCCAGAGGGCAGCCAAGCAAGTGCAGTACCCGGGGAGAGGCCAGAAGGATGGGGTGGCAGGTGCTGAGACAGGGTGGATGCTCGGGGCTGGAGTAGAGCATCGCAGGTTCACATGGGGCAGCGTGGTGGTGGGGGGGTCCCTTCCAGCTCCTGCCTGGACCTTTTGCCTTCCTAGACCAAGTGTGAGGATTCCCAGGTGCCCAGAGAAGGCCAAGTTCTGCTGGTCGGGCACGGGACTGTCCCACTGGACGGGACAAGCACACATGCAGCACTGGTGTGTCGAGCTGGCAGGATGTGTTAAAGAACATTTTGTAAAAAGGTACAGAAGAAATAATGGTGATCACTGTTACTGACTTCATAAAATTTTGCTAACCCTGCAAACACTTTTTTGAGGTAGTTTTGAGAGCCCCCAAACTTTCATATAAAATGCTAATTCCTAAAAAAGTGAAATTTGGTTAACTTAGGCTACTTCTCACCCCAAATCCCTAAGAATGCGCCCTGCCCCCATCGCCCACCCCTCAGCCTGGGAGGCGGGGAGTGATCTGCTGATCCCGCACCCACCCAGGCTCTGTGGGGCAGCGACAGTGACGGCAGGGAGCAGCGGGTCCCCAGCACCTGCACCCATCAGCCTGGCCTCCCTGGGGCCCGCACAGCCCCTTGCCCATGGCACCCATAGCCTGGAACGGGACTGTCTGACTTCTTCATGTGAGGCTGGGGATGCAGAGGCCCCAACTTCCATGTGACAGCTCTGGCCCCCGTGCCCCACTTACCATGATGACGGAGACCCCAGTGGTGGTGCTGTTCTGCTTTGGGAGCGCGTTGTGAAAGTGCTGCTTTAGTTTACCTGTGACCTCCACTTGCATATTGTTCTCCTGGGAGCTATCGTCCTGTAGAAAAGAAAAGAACCAAATGTTCCCTTTCTCCCGTCTAAGCTGTCTCTTCTGTAACAGTTACCACGCCCACCAACTGCTTGGCCTCTTCCTAAAGGGCTCCGTCTTAGACACAACGTTAGGAAATGGTTGTGCAAAAACAATCATGGCGGCTGGGACTGTAGCTCGGTGGTGGAGTGTGTGCCCAGCCTGTGAGCCCCTGGGTTTGATCAGTAACAAATCCTGGTTACTCAGTAATGCCAGGCCCTCAGAAAGGCCCTACCCCTTCTATACACATCTCAGAACCAGGGAAGGCCAAGAAAGGCGTACAGGTCTCCAAGACTCTGAGAGGTCTTTCCTTAGGCTTCTGATTCCTCACCCAAGGCACATAATTTATCCACGGTTTACCCCACATATCCGTGGAAGATAAACATTAACTAACATTTTATACTGTTAATCAAGAGCTCATGCTTGGTGCAACGGCACAGCCCTGTGGTTCCAGCCACTTGGGAGCCTGAGGCAGGAAGATCTGGAGCCCTGGATTTCAAGGCAAGCCTGGGCCAGATAGTGAGACTTCATCTCCTATTTCCAAAGGAGGCTGGGTGAGAGGCTGGAAGTGTGGCTCAGTGGTAGCGCTGTGATTAGCACACATGAGGGTTAGGGTTCCACCCTCTGCAAGTCATTGGACCCCCAACGCCTGCGCCCTCACAGAGAGGCGCGGCATCTTAGCTATGTGTTCTAAGAGCCACATCACCAGGGCCAGGAAAGCGGTGAGCAGAGCAGTGAGGCGCACAGGGAGCTGCTGGGTCAACCAAAGCCCTTGGCTAAGAAAATCAACCTCTCTTCCGGAGACATCTGGAAACAGGGAGATGCACCCTGCTCCAGCCGCCATCCAGTGCACTGTGTCTCCGCCAACAGAGGGAGCTCTGGTCACCGCCTCACCCATCTGTCCGCCTCTGGAAGGGACCGCGTCTCGTGTGACCTTCAGGACTCCAGCCACATGTGCATCCCCAGGGCACACGCTGAAGACTCAGGCCCAGAAACAGGGCAAGGCAGGACACACGGGCTTTGGACAGAGGTCACAGCCAGCACCTCCCTTTGCAGAGGAGGGAACAGGCTCACTGACTTGCTCAAGGCACTCAGAGAGTAGGATCTACGACTCCAGGACCCCGGCATCAACTGCTTTCTCCCTTCCTGCTACTTGCTTACTAGGAACCAGAGACATTTTATCTGGCATGGAACTTAGGTGCACAGGGTGACATGTGCAGAACACACAACCAGGGCCTGCCGCTGGCCACGGAAACACAGCTGTCCATTCCTGGAATGGAGGTACTTACTGACACCCACGGGTGACTCAGGACTTGTCCTGCAGTACATCGAGCTTCGACATTTACCTGAAGCATTTGACTGATTAATTCCTAGAGAGAGAGAAGGAAAGAAGGGAGACAGTAGAGGAGAAAGAGGACGATTCCAGCGCAAATATAGCAGTCTGCGTTTGCAGCAAGCACTGCAAAGAACACAGCCACTCAGGCGTCTGAACTCGAAAGCTGACCTCCCCTGGGCTCCTAGGGCCAACGAGAGGACACAGACTGAGCTGCCTCTGTCGGCCCCGAACAAGAGAAGGCGAGCTCCCTCCGGAGCTGTGTGGAGCCAAGGCGTCCCCGTGGCCAGCACTCCACAGTGTGACACCCCGGGATTCCTCCCTTTGCCATTCCGGGGTCTCAAGTGTTCATTCTTATTTTCCGATGGGTGCCCAGTACACAGTTCTCAATCGATGAGAGATGAGGGCTTGTAGGTTAGAGGAGAGACACAAAGGTATGGGAATCAGGAAGGCAGCCATTCCGGCTTTCAAAACGCGGCCAAGAGCTTCTGAGACCACACCATTGGGGAACTTCATGAAGGCCAACGTGAAAGTTCAGTCACCCCTTCGGATCACACTGCAAGTCACGTCTGCCCTGTGTGACGGACGAGGACCCTCAGAAACAGGAAGGGACAGAGACGGTACCTTGGCTGAGTCGGTGATGTTGTCCCAGTAGGGGGCTGGAAACTCCAGCTTCCCCGCCAGGATCTGGTCGAAGAGGTCCTCCTGAAGGTTGTTCTCACTAAGTCACGGACAGAAGGAAAGTCCACGTCAGCACAGTTTTCAACAAAATGTTCGTGGGAAGAATAAGGGTTAGGGTCTCTGGCACTCCAAGCCTCAGCTGTGTATCGCAACTGTGTTCGTGACGACACATTTTTCCTTACAGACAACGAGCCACGAACATTTCCATGGCCTGGCAATCAGAGACCAGGGACACGGACTCAACTGTGGAACGGATGCGGGTTCGTTTGGCAAGATGAAAAGGTGATGACAGCACACGGCGTGAGTGGGCTTCATGCCGCGGCACTGCACACACAAAGACGGCCAGGATGGAAGCCCAGGGTGGTGCACACTGGGAGTCCTGGCTACTGGGGCGACTGGGGTGGGGGTCACGTGAGCCCAGGAGTTTGAGAACAGCCTCGGCGACAGAACAAGCCCCTGCCTTAAGGGGGGAAATGGTTAAGATGCTGAGGTCTATGTTGCTTTAACTACAATGAGAAAGATTTAAGAAAAAATGGAATCTACAAATAATGGAAATCCTCATTGGTGGGGGTAGCGCCTGGCCTCCCTCACCTGTCATCACATAAGGGCAGAGAAGCAGCAAGTCTGTGTCAGGTGCCTCGGCTTCCCTCTTCCCTCTTCCAGTCAAACAGCAAAGACATGTTACAGTTGGCATCCAAAACACCTCTGCGAGGCACTGCGGGATCGCTCGCTGGGGCCCGTGGATCGAGGGCCTCTAACTGCCACAGGGTGACCCCTCGATGAGACCAGAGTGGGGTGGTTTACCGGGCTGCGACCCCAGGGACGAGGAGGTAGGGTCCCCCAGCCTTCCTTTCTGGGTCTTTCCTTTGTTCTCTGCTCCCCAGCTGCCAAGAGCGAGCAGCTTTGCTCTGTCCCCCCTCCCACCATGACGCTCTGCTTCTCAGCTCACAGAAATGGAATCTCAGGACCATGGACTGGATCTTCTGAAACTGTAAGCAAAATAAACCTTTCCTCCTTGAAGCGCTTTTCTCAGGAATTTCATCACCACAGTGGGGACAGTGTAATGAGTGACTCGTCCAACTTACGAAGCAGGCACAGGCAGTCTGGATCAAATGTTCACGGCCTTAGAACCTGACTTTCGTTTATGCTCTGCCTAAGAGAGAGGGCCCAGCCAAAGACGCCGACTAGAACGGCCGATGTCGCAGAAGCCCTGCCCAAGCCACGCGTGACAAGCTCACCCCCAGAGTGCGTGGCACACACCGTAGACGTCTACTGAGGAAATGAACCCAGACTTCGGGCGGGAAAACGTGAAAACACCTCTGGCCCCCCACAGAACTTCATCTCCACACCCACAGCACAACTCGGGGAACGCGCAGGTGGCCAGCGTGGGGTCCACTCCGTGCCCCAGCAGAGCGCTGGAACAGCTGCAGGGATCCAGGTCGGTACCCCGCATGGAAGTTAGGGATGAACGGGCAACCGTTTGGTAACTGCTCCCTTAACGTTCAGGAATTCTGCTACCTACAAAGATAAGGGTGGGGCCCCTAGAAACAGACTGTGGCACTATCCAGAAACACACTCTAGGACATGGTGGCCTCATTCGTGTCCTATTAAAGAGAAAGGCACAGGGAGCAACAGTCAGGCTGAACAGGTGGGCAAGGCAAGAGATCCCGCTGCATGCTGAAAAGTGACTTTCTTTGAGTGAGCACAGATCTCTTCCTAGGTGGCAAAATGCTTTCTTTCATTTCTACCCTCACAGCCCCACTCTTTGAATTTCTTCAGACTGAGGGAAAAGAACAATGAGATTTTATGGAAACCTTTAGAAAATCAGAATGTTGGAAGATACTTAAAAAATTATCTATTTCGTGAATTGTTCCTCTTCACCACCCCTCCCTATTTTTCCACTTATCTGCCCTTGTTTTTCTGGACTCTCGAATGGCCTATGTGTGCTAATCCAGGTCCCTCTGTTCTGTGGTGGAAAAGCCAGCAGTGCCTTCACCAAAGTCCTCACAATGGACCTGAATCAGCAAACAGAGCCCCGGGGCTCAGCCTGGGGTGGAAAGGGTGGTGCTGAGGATTACACAGCAGGCAAAGACAGGGCTAAAGATGCTTCATTCTTCCAGCCATCAGCACGGAGGAAAGGCGGCCCTTCCTGAACCCACACTGGATTTATTATCACACCTACAGTCTGAGACGCTGCAGGACACTCCTTTATCCTTACACAAGAGCCTCTGGCTCGAGGTGCTGCAAGTCTAGAGCTGTCAGGTAAGATAAACTCAAAAGCAGCAAACAGGGGCTATGCTCTCGGTCTCTCTCCATGGCAAGTCCCTTGCAGTCAGAAGAGGGACCCTCACAATGCAGTACACGAGTTCATGAACAACTCACAGACCTTTCACCTGTGTGTGTGTGCACGCGTCTGTGTGTGCAACTTCATTACAGCCACACACGCACTTGCTATCAGCAGCCCTAAGCACAGACATTTTGAAGCAACAACCAAAATTTGGGGTGCCTCTAAAAACCAATCTCAATAAAGGTAAATGCGACAGTGCCGGGCTTTAGCTCAGGGGTTCTGCTGCCTGCCTCACAAGCGCAGGCCCCAAGTTCGATCCCCAGCACACCCCCCCCCAGAAAAAACAAAACAAAAAAATGTGATAATTTGAAAAAAGGTGGAGGAAGAACACACATCAAGTTAGGACTGAAACACAGCAACTCAAGGAAGGAAGAACGAGAGATCTTGCACTTCAAGGACTGAAAGAGCAAGTCCTAAATGATTTTAGATCAAAGGCTTTATGTTAAAACTGTCTTTTATAGAAAACAAAGTATTCTGAAATATGTAATAGACTTTTACTTCACAATTTATGAAGACAACCTGTTCTACATCACAATCCTTTATCACTTAAATTACAACTTCCATAATTTTCCGTATACGTTTTTATCTAAAAGAAGGTTGTGAAGTCCACCTAGAGTGTCCTTATGCACTGAGAAGACGCTTCTGCAACCAGTGCTTCACACCTCAGATTCTCTTTCGATACAGTGCGCCAGGGAAGAAGGGAAGCACTGTCTGATATTTAAAACGTAAGCTACCTGGGGCTTTGTGACCTGCTGCTGAATGTACTGTATGAGGGCAGCAGCTTTCAGATGTAGCTTTCCTGCTTTTCATTAGCCAGTCTTCTTTAGATCCCACAAAGCAGCAGCTGCCTGCTGGGTAACAATCCATGAGAAACACATACTGTTTAGTCAGAGCCCCACTTTCGCTAAAACCAAACACCAAAAGCACAAAAAAAAAAAAAAAAAAAGCCTGTGGCCCCCCTGGGCTGCAGTGGTGACTAGAAACACTAGGGGGAGTCGTGCGCACACACTCCTGGGCCCCTACTCCCACCACCCTCTTCAAGGGCTGCCCACTTGGGGGGCAGCGGAAGCTGGCTCTAACCGGCCCAGTGTCACCTACTGTTCACACACTCCCCTTCTACACGTGACCGGCTCCCCCACAGCCGGAGTCTGGTCTGCCTGGGAAAACGGCCACACTGCAGCACATACCCGCAACCCACCCCGCAATGCCCTCGTTTACTTCACTTCCCCCACCCACTCTGGGCTTCTCTGCGAGGCCTGACTTGGTCAACGGGACATCAACAAGCGTGAGGTGAGCAGAGGCTTAGAAAGCGGCAGGGCGGTGGAACCGCCCCCTCTCTGGCTGCTCCGGGAACCCGCCTCCAACATCACAGGAAGCCAGGCCAGCCCTAAAAGGCTCGGCCAAGCCATCTGTCTTCCCAGCTGACACCGAGCCAACCCCAGGCATGGGCTTGAGGCCTCACCAGGCCCCTGCTGAGCCAGCACAGAAGCGTCGCCGAATCACCCCAGAGAACTGCTCTACCCCGCTGGCTGTGGACGCCCTCGCTGTCCCGCTAATCCTATGTTGGGCGCAGCCGCTCCCGGCAATGCGGCCTAGGGTCATAGGCACCGCACCTAGAGAAACGCCGCTTGGACCAGAAGATTTAGCTCAGTGGTGCCATCGCCTGCCTTGCAAGTGTGAGGTCCTGAGTTAAATACCCGGTACCCCCACCCCCCAATGTTGAGGGAGAAAGAAGAAGCCTATTTTTTCACTTTCTGATCCAATCCAACAGACATCATACCACAGAGTGTGTGTTTGTGTCTCCAAAAAGCGCATTGGTTGAGACCTGATCCCCACACAGCAGTGTCAGGAAATGGGGTTCTGGGAGGAAACCAGGTCATCAGGACACCGCCTTCATGAGTGGGATGAGGGCCCTGACGAGAGAGCTGGTATCACTCTTGGCCCTTCCACTGGGGAGTTTACAGTGAAAGGACAGCTGTCTAAGAACCAGGATGCCGGCTCTCAGCAGACAAAGTGCGCTGTCCCTCGGTCTTGGACTTTCTGCCTGCGAACATTAAATTCCACCGTCTGTGGCCACACAGACCACAACACACGACAGGTTCAGGGATGCCACCAATCCGCTACTGCACCCTCAGCACTTAGAAAAGAGTCTGACAAACAGTGGCTGCTCAGGAACACTCGCTATAAAGTGAACAAGAAAACCGAACATGCATTACTAGAAGAAATGCTGCTTCACAGCCATTCACCTGCTCCAGAAAGGGAGATGAATCCACTCGAGATTTGTGGCCAAAGCCCCTTGCTGAGCCCTGGGACCCAGACTGCCAGGTTCACAGGGGCTCAGACACCTGGACAGCTGTCCCTGGCCACCTCAGCCCCCACCAGTGAAGCACCCTACTGTCAGCTGCTTGTTTCCCAGCTTGTCCATGCCAAACGTATTTGTAATTTTATTTATTTATTTATTTTTTGGTACTGGGGATCAAACTCGGGACCTTGCACTTGAAAGGCAGGCGGTGGCACCACTGAGCTAAATCCCCGGCCCCCAAACATATGTCGTATTTGTAATTCTACTTCTCAATTTAATATTAAGTGAAGGGCTAAACTGAAACTAAGAGGGAAGAGTACCTGTTTCTTGGGAAGAGATTTGAATCTTCTGAAAGACTATATAAACACTACTACAAAAGCACAAGGAAATCAGACAACTATCAAATGCTTTACTCATGGCTCAGTGGCAAAGCAAGCACCACACTGGCCAAGTTGGAAGCCCTGGGTTCGATCCCTGCCACAATGAATGAATGGTCACTGAGTACATATTAGGTTGTAAACTAAGATAAAAAGTGAAAGGCACATTTCTATAGTTTTTAACTAGCATTTTTACTGACCAACCACTTTCAAGTCCTGACTACCAGGAGTCAAGTATCTGGGAATTTTTCATTCAAATACAGCTACTCGAAGAACCACTGACCTTCGGAAGGGTGGGAATCCACACAGAAGTATGTATGTGATCACTCCGGCTGCCCAGATGTCCACCTTCAGGCCGTAGCTGGGAAAACGAGAGGGAAACAGATTTGCTTATGACTTTCAGGAACCTTCCCCAAGAGTCTTTGGGGTGGGGGGTCCAACTGTTCAGTTCACACAGGGCAATGACTCACCGTGTGGACAGTCATCTGTTTCCTGTCAACCTAACCACAGTCTTGAGGCCCACTGCCATATTCCCAAGAATGGCCTTGGGGAAAAAGTTTGGGCACTTAGCACAAACTCTAGCTCCCGAGGTCCAAATCCTGGTGCAGTTATGGTCTCTGTGTCTCCTACTGTCCACCTTCCAGAGTTACTCAATCCACAGGCCACAATAACTGCAAACTTGGCCTCTTCCTGCCACCTCGAAAGCACTCCCCAGCCAGGAAGCCTCACCCGGTTTCAGCGATGATTTCTGGAGCCACGTAAGTGGGTGTGCCACAGACGGTGTACAGAGGCCCTTCCACCACCGTCGCCAGCCCGAAGTCTCCCAGCTTCAGCGACTTGGTCCCGTCAGGGTACTCACACACCTGGGACAGAAGGCAGCTGAGCGTTAGAGGATTCCCCTCCCTCTGCAGCTTGAGGCAGAAAAGACAGAGACTCGGTTACTAACACGCTCAAAAGAGGTACGGGCTCGCTGTAGTCACACCATGATTTCTCTTCGTTGCTTTTCATTCTTCTCCAGAGATACTGTGTGATCGTGTGTGATTTGGAAGACATTCTTTTCCATCTTTGCAGAAAACCCCTTGCCAGGAATCTATATCCCCTCAAAGGGCAGAGAGCAGCTGTCTGCTTACCCAAAGGGGCTCAGAGAGGCCCAGCGCCTGGCGGGGACTCTGACCTTTATTTAGTTCTTAGCGAATGCGAGCTACTTAAGAACCCGAAAAAGGATGGTTTTATTGAGTGTCCACCGGTAAGCTCAGTGTTCTCCAAGAAACTCGCATATTTACTTTGGGAAACAAAACTGGGGATGGCAGCCTTGTTTTCTGCAGTTAATGATGAAATATAAACTTTAAACACTTTTGCTTTGGTACTGTTGGAGATCAAACCCAAAGCCTCGGGCGTGCTAAGCAGGAGCTGGGCCACTGAGCTATTTCCCATCCCAAGACACAAATGCTGTGTACTCAGAAACAAGCTTTGGGAGTTGAAAGAGAAAATGGACTTGGGATTGATCGGACATCCTGAATCTGTACCTCAAGCCTATGAAAGTCACCCAACCTCCTGGAGCAAGTTTTTTCATTTGTGAAGTGGACGAGACTAACATCTCCCTTGTGAGGGTGAAACGGGACAATGCACAGAGCAGGGCTGACTGGATATTATCATGTGGGAAAGGCTTCAAAAAGCTAGAGAAGGTTGTGGATGGGCATGCTGACACTGAAACGTTATTTCTCAAAAGCGTTTCAGCAGTATATACTGAATTTCTTATTTTTGTTCATGATCGTTGATCCAGCAAATCTCTGAGAATCTACTCAAGGGGAACCAAGATGGACCCAGAAGTCATAAAACATGATGTCACTATCAGAACTTACCTAGGATTTTTTAAAAACTAGAAGCAACACAATGGCTATAGGGCAGTGACTAAGTAAATTATAGTTCATAATAAAATATTATATAGTTGCTACTAAGAATTTTTCAAATACATTTTTTTTGAGACAGGGTGTAGCTAGGTATTCCAGGCTGGCCTAGAACTCACTATCCATCCCAGGCTGGCCCTGAACTCATGGTGATCCTCCTGCCTCAGTGTCCTGAGTGCTGGGATTACTGGCATGCACCACCATGTCTTCAAATAAATATTTATCACATGGGAGATATTCACTATATTACATGAAGTAAAAAAGAAAAAAGACTAAAATTATGTATGGAGTATAATGCTCCAAGAGTCTTAAGAAAATTTATCTCTGAGCGGTAGCACTGAGGATTACTGTAATTTTCCTCTTTCTAGTTTCTAGTTTCTAAAATGTTTAAAATGACTATACACTGGTTCCATAAATAAGAAACATTAATTTTATGTATAAGCAAACTTGATGAGATAAAAGTCTGAATTCTAAATAGAGCGCTGGAAACAAGTGTAAATGACAGCATATTCCAGACTGACTGACTGTGTAATCTGTAACTTGTTGGTATAATTTGTCTCTTGGGTGTCCATTTTGTGACCTTTTTTTTTTTTTTTTTTTTTTTTGGTACTAGGGATGGAACTTGCATCCTTGTGCTTGTGAGTTCGGTGTTCATTTTGAAAATGCTCAAAAAAATTGCAAAGACCTAATCTAGACTCGGGTCTATTTATTTTTGTATTTTTCAACATATTATTTTGCTTTTCCTGATATTATACTATGAATTAACCCAGATTTTCATCTCAGCCACTACTACTAACTAAAGGAAGCAAAGAATTTGGAAAATCCATTTGCAAGACAAGCTTGTTAACAGTGTGATCCACTGGGCCATATTGCGGGGAAGGAAGTGATTTACGCAGTCATCAATAAAAAGCACCAAAGCCCTCCAGGCCCCACAAACAGTGATGGCCCAGCCTCCACAGGCTTTCGAGAGGGTGACACCAGGCAGGGACGCAGCTCAGTACCGGCCAGGCATGTGGGAGGCCCTGGGTGCAATCACAGCAAAAAAAAAGCTGGGGATTTAGCTCAGCGGTTCGGTGGCCTGCCTCACAAGCTCAGGACCCGAGTTCGATCCCCGGTACCAAAAAAAAAAAAAACCAAACATCGAGAGGACTGCGAACACCTCCTTTACCAACGTTCGACAGCTTCTTCCACATTCACCCACGCGCCCAGCACCCGTGCTATGACTGGCGCGGGTCGGTGGGGACTGAGACGCAGGTACCTGTGAACCCCAGGGAACCCACTGCCCACCAAAGCACACTTAAGAGACATTCGTGATGTAGCCTCAAGTCCGAGTCCAGACTCCCGGTCCTGCCCTGGGCCTAGGCAGCTTTCCATCCATTATGTTGAATGTGAACATCACAGAGAACGACCTGATATAATTACAGCTAGGATTTATGATACATTTACCAAAACTCAGATGTTAGAAATTCCCTAAGTAACCGTAGCGATAAGAACGTAAGTGCAATTTCCTAAATGTCTGTATCATGAGACACAAAGCCTTACGTCATTGCTCTTTTGTTTTCATAACTTCAAAATACATCCATTAGGTACTGTTTTTGAAAAATAGTGTTTATTTTAAACACTCAGTTTGCGGATGCCTTGGGGTATTCAGGGGTTGCTGTCAGATACTTGGAAATCCCAGCAGCTCTATTTTTCACATCCCCTATAAGGAATTCAGAGTCAAATGGAGAAGCAGAAATAGAAAGTGACTGAGCAGTCTATAGTCGCTGAATTATGTCTGGGTACCCTTGGCTAGGCGTCAAAGGGAAGTGTCATCGGGGGCAGACAAGCCTGAAATAATATTTTATCTGCTTCATCTCTCCCCAACACTAGACACAGAGGCAGATACATGAAATACGAATGCATGTCAAGGCTTAGCTGGAGATTCTCTTCAAAAGCCGGACGGAAAATTAGATATACATGGTGTGGACACAGAGACACACACTGTTGCTTTAAGGGACCCCCCTAAGTCTGGGGTGTGGCCCAGGGGTAGAGCATTTGCCTAGTGTGCCTCCGCTTCTGGTTTCAACCCCCAGCCCACAGAAGGAAAAGCAGAAGAGGAGGGAGGGAGGGAGTATGGGATCCCAGTAACTGACACTCCCAAGGACTCCGGAAATCTGAATATTATCCCAAACGTGGCCTCACTGGAATTTTCCAGGGACCCCACTGGGAATCAGAACTGTCATCTCCATTGTACACATGAGGAAACTGAGGCACACATTACTCAAATTACTCTCAAGTAGGGTCTGCAGCAGGACCCTCACCATTCCGCAACAGATTCTAACTCTGAAAAGGGCTGGTGGGTGGACCAGCTGGAAGCCCAACTGTGGCCTGCATGTCATGCACATTCTGAGTGGGTTTCAAAAAGCACCACCGTGACAGCCCACCCCTGCACTGCTCAAATGATGCTCGGTTGAAAGGTGTTCTCAGAACAGAGAAATAAAACATGCAGAGTCTACACCTCACGTTCTCTAAATAAGATGCCAACGTACTGATTTAGAAGGACTTACAATATGAGAAACCAACTCCCTCTCTCCCCTGCCCCACACCTCCCAGAAAAGCAGAATTGATCATGGGCGCTCACAGTTAACTCTGACAGGGCACCACCAGGCTGTAACTCACTGTGTAACAGCCCTGAGCGCCCTGACACAGCGACCCATACATCTCCGCTGGCAGGGGCTTAAATTATTTGACACTGCTACCTGGGAAGCGGATGCAAATCAGATGCCCGAATGCTCTGGTGTTTAAAACTGAATTAGTTCTTAGACAGGAAGAGGCTGACAGTTACTCCAGGTGTTTGCTTTCAGGGCCCCCCCAGCACCTTCTCCTCCTGGGCCAGCTTGCCGACTAACTCCAGAGCGAAACCAGTGATCGTTTGGTCTCAATGGGCGACAGCTACGCCACTCACATCTGTGTAACTGAGGCTGTTTCCAGGGCTTCCTTGCCACACAGCAGCCTCACCTGGAGATCAGTTCTAACACCTCTGTTCTCCTCCCCTCACACAAGGGGTTAGTGCAGGCCTCGGGGAGAGGTGTCCACTCACACAGAACACATCAGACTAGGTGAGGAACTTGGTTCTGACTTCCAGGTTAAGTTCCGAGACACAAGACCAATCTCTACTTTCTCTACTTTGACACCGGAGGAGAGAAAAGGAGTGTGTGTGGGATTCTGAGGAGACGACATACTCTAAGAGACCCACAGAGTGCTGGGCCGTAGGGCGGTGCTTGGGGGTAGAACACTCGCTTAGTACTCAGGAGGCCCTTGGTTCCATCCCCAGCACAACAACAACAACAACAAAGAAACAGAAGAGAAGAGAAGACTTGGGGTTGAGAGTGGGATCAGTGGACAGGGGAAGGGACTCTCCGGGTGCACAGGAAGTTCCCAGATGCCTCTGGGCCTGAGCAATCAGCACTTCCGGACAAGCCAGCTCCAGAGGGACCAGTTGTCTCCTGGAAACCCACGGCCATGGCACTCACAGAGAACACCAGTTCCTGAAGCCCCCAGGGTGAGGCGCCGGGACCTCCTCATTAACACTGTGGTGAAGCTATCTACACATCTGGAGAACACACTGTCCCCGCTGCTGTGAGGCCCCAGGTCACGGGAGCTGACAGACACTGCAAGGTCATAAAAGTGAGAAGCGTGTTTTGGGAAAGTGAACACCATTGGCCTGACTTTCACGCTCTGTCGTGGTAGAACGTGGCTTTATCTTCCATAGGAAAACAGGGCAAATGACACTTTCCAGCAAGAAAATTGAGCATGTCTTGGTCTCAGTTTCTACATCAATGAAACTGCGATGGAAAAACTATACTATTTCCCAGATTCTGTCCTACACATAAATAAACCTCCACATTCTATTCTGGCTCCTATGAGCTTCTACTCCCCATCTTTGATTGCTTCTTCTGAATGTTTGCACAATTATCATTCTGCTTTCTCCCCTCCGTATCACTGCTGTGGCTTGGATAAGTGTCCCCCAAAGACCCACACATTAAAGATTTTATTCCAACAGCAATGCTGTGTGGGGGCAGAACCTTCAGGACGCGAAGCCTGCGGGTGCTCACACAGTCCTTGGTGGGGACTCGGGGGCTGGCCCCTTCCTGCCATCTTGGCTTCCTGGCTCATGAGGTGAGCAGTCTTTTCTGCCACCTGCTCCCCACAATTGCTACCCAGCACTCTCACCTGAGGCCCCAAGCAATGAGTTCAACTTATCTTGGATCAAAACCTCCAAAACCATGAACCGAAACAAACCTTTGCCTTTATAAGTTAATTTTCTCAGGCATTTTGTTACAGTAACAGGAAAGTGATGCAATCGCAAATGAAAACCAATGGAAATGTATATTACACTCTCTGATAAATAGCAAGCACAGATCACTGCAAAGAAACCCAGTAATATTTTATGGCCATTGACTGTCCCGCTCATTTCATAAAGTCGCTTAAGTCTCACTACAGGATGGTTTAGACCACCCAGTGTTTTCATTTACGTATGATTGCACACAGTTATGAACATCTGTAAAGGAGCAGAGGCAGAGCTGGAAGACAAAAGCAGAGAGGACATACCAAGAGGTTCTCTGGCTTGATGTCCCTGTGCACAATGCTGAGGCCGTGCAGGTACCTGAGGGCATTGGCCAGGTTGTACACCATGGCGCTGCCGTCTCTCTCTGTGTACTTGGTCGAAGAAGTGATCGCGTCAAAGAGATCTCCACCCTAGAGCATTCACAAAGACACATCCAGACATCAACAGTGCAGTCCTGGGACGCTAAGAAAGGTGGTCCTTTCTTAGGCACGGAGGAGGAGAAGCCACAAGTGCCACTCACAGGGACTACACATAATGAAGTTATAGGCAGCCAAACCCTTTGGGAATATCGCAAGTCTCTGGAAACACCCCATGCCCCTACCTTAACCAATTCCATCACCAGAAAGAGCTCAGTTGTGGTTTCCATCTCTTCGACCAGCATGATGATATTGGGATGTTTCACTCGGCGCAATATTGACACTTCATTCTCAATCAGGTGTTCCTGTCAAATGAAGCCCGGAGAAAGAGGAATCAGAAACCACAGAACCCTCTGCCCTGTCCCTGAGGCCTACAGAGGTAATGAGGCGTGCATAGTCCACAGCTCTGAGGCCAGGGATGCACCTCTCTTCACACAGAGACCCAAACCCCGGTCTGCTCAGTTCTAGGGACAAGACGGTTCAGTGTCTTGTCAATGCCATTAGCGGAGAGAAATCAACCTATGGACATGTCCCAGAAGGAGGACCTCCCCGGCTCTGGGAGCTGCTCTGGAACATGAAACCTACTGCCTTCTAACTCTTCAACACCTCAGGAGGCTGCAACCCCATGCAAGGTCAGGCACACAGCACCATGCTAAATCGGCAGCGCCACCTCTCATCTCCGGCACGCTCAGAAACCAGGACCAGGCAAGTTAGAAAACTTGGTATGCTGCGTACTTCTGGTATTCCATTTTTTTTTTCTTTTTAACTGTTATCCATACAAATTTTATTTTCATGCTGAAATTCATGAAAAGGAAACTTTCCTCCTCTACGACTGTGCATGGAATCATTCACCAGATGGACGGCCCTTGTCATATTTATTTCAGAAATCTGAAATACAGTGCCACGGGGACTACTACTCTAATCACTTTTCTGAAAATGCCACCTGACTCTCAGTCCTAGTGAGTAATGTGGGTGGGATCAGCACTGCAGCAAGGTGCGCATTACAGAACTACAGAATTATTCTCAACACACTAACCCATGAATCGTGAACAATGATTCCCCCTTTTTAAATGAGACGTGACTACCTCCCAGGAATGCCGTATTTATCGATTTTCATTAACTTCCATAATGAATTTTGAATTTGGAGACTGCTCTATGAAATTTGCCAACTGCCCTCTTACATATTCTAGGGATTCAAATAGGATGGCTTTTTTAAACAAAGCCCACCTTTTACAGATGTCCTGTACTAAACACACGTGTATAACAGATACAGACACATGTGCATGTATCACTCACACTGCCCTCTGCCTTTATTAATGAACCTCAGAGCTACAGTTCGTGTAGATACAGCAGTAAGATGAGTATCCCTAGTTTACGATACCATTTGTGGTTTTTCTTATCTTTGTGCCTCTGTGTGTATCTGTATGTTCACTCCGGGCTTTCTCTAATCCTTTTTTACAATAGCTGGAGGTATAAATTATTTTAAAAATGAATAGATTACCCACAGAGAAATTTGCTGTGAGCTCCTGCACATGGATTTTCATGTCTTTCGTGAGCAATGAATGCACTGTGCTTGTCCAAGAAGTTGCTCAATAAATATTGATAAATGACAGTATGAATGCTAAGATAGGGGGAGAAGTGAGCATGTAGTGGAAATCTACTACATGTCATTTCTGTGCAATCACTTAACACTCGATCCCTGGATCAGTCCTCGGAGACAGGAACACACGCCTAGGTTTCTGGTTTCCTAGCCTACACTTTTTCTACGTGTTGTTACTCTTTCAAAAAGGGAAAGCTGGAATTCTCCAAAACGAAATGATAGATATAAAGCTGAAGATATTGAATCTCTGAAAGCAGTAAGCCATAGCTTCACACTGAAGTTGGAGGTAAAGAACTACCAGGCTTTGTATAGAAGGAGAACCTTTTAATGATGGGGCTGAGAAATCTTCGACTAGCTTAGGACTCAACAGATCCTTCCAAACCTCCCAGGATCGTGGTGGTTCTCAGATCCTACAATCCAGGGACAGGGTGACAGGGCCTCCTACCTATTTCCAGGTCCCATCTGTCTATGTCAAAGCAGCAGCCAGCAGCCTGGTCCCTCCTCACCCTGCGGAAGCAGCTGTACCACCAACCCCTGTTGGTCACAAGGCAGGACCTGGCAAACCCACTACATGTGCATTCACACATTCTTAAGCTTTTGGGTCATCTGCGCCAGGTATGTCCTTCATCACCGAAAAAGCAGAGCAAGGCTTTGTTTGGTGCATATGTAAATATCAAATGAATTTATTTTACTCTGTGGGAAGCAAAGACAACAGTACTTACTAACACTGTAGTATTTTAAAGCCAAATGGATCTATCACTTAGATTCTCCTCCCTACTCATTGTTGTAAAAGTTGGAAGAGTCTAATTTACTCTTCCTTCAGGGCTCTGTGAATTTGCATATATTAAACAATCACCATCACCAGGACACCAAAGAAACACTCAAATTGGAATTAAAATAGGAGTCAACCACATAAGGGAACTACATCTCCCCAAAGTTATTATCCTTTCAATAAAAGGCGTGCAGAAAAACCTTTGGGGATGTGGTGTGGAACTGCTCCCAAAGCCACCAGCGGGACTACATTTTAAATATTGAGTATTTCAGCAACATTTCCTCCATCAGTCTCTCGACTTACTGTATTCTACCTGACAAAGGCCAGTGTCCTAGACAGAGTGACTGCTCCTGCTGGGATGTGGTTAGAGGGCAGCCTTTGTTTCTCAACTTCTTTCTGTCCTGTGAAACCACCTATGAAACCAATCAGCAACAGCAGCAGCAAAACAAAAGCCCTGCCTAAAACCTTCACAAACATCGTCTTCCTGTTGCTCGTGTAGTCCCGGTATAGTCTTTGTTTCTAACCAGCAAGAAATCTTCAGGTTACATTTTCCCAAAGAATATTTCTAAATATAACAAGAATACTGATTTTGTCTTAAACCATACTGAATTTACATTACTTGATTATTTACCATTATTCATGATCAGTGATTTCAGGATTCCAACTCCAAATAATTTACACAGGAGTCACTGTACAGCAGGGCAAAGGAGACTGTGGAGTCTTTGGCCACAGTGATTTTTATCGTACAGAGAGAGATGGAGAAATGGGTTAGAGGAAGAGACAACTCTCCCAATCAAAACTAACCAACGTTTTTCCACCTTTCCCAGACTCACTACATAATCCTTTCCTCCTGTGTGCTCAGTCACTGCATGAACTTAGCTTCCCAAAGCAGCAGTGAGAAATCTACCCGGATTTCCCCTGCGGTCATCCTCCACAGTGTCCCTCACTCGCTTGCTATGCCTGCTCATTCACCTTCTGCATGGCCTCAGCCCTCCACTGCCGTCCCTCTCCTCTGCTCCTCGCCGGCCTTTCGTCTCGACTTCCGAGCATCTGCACAGGGGATCTTCTGTCTGGGACGTTCTGTACCTGGCTCCTGGTGAGCCCCTCCATTCCTCTGTCCTCCCCGTGTCTTTTCAAGGTGTGTACTGGTCTTTCTTGCCCTCTGGGACTGGGAGCTCATGGGGTCCGGGTTATCTCACTCTCCAACAACCTGCAAGTTACTAACGGGAGGTGCCGAGCTGCTTCTGCAGATGAATGCACACAGCAGGCACTGCTCCTGCCTGACACAGGCTTACAGCTGTCCGCTCTGCTACTTCAGTGAACGCTGCTGAGGACAAGACAGCAGGAGACAAGACCTTCCCACCACTACATGTGATTGCTGAGGTAAGTACACTTGGTAGGTTGAACAATATTCATCCAAAGGCCTCTAGTCCTAATCCCTAGGATCTGTAAATATTTCCCTCTTTCGAATAGGCTTTTTGCAGATGCAACTGAGGCTTCCTCAAGGCAGAGACAGCCCTGGATCATGTGTGTGGCCCCTAAATGCCAGCGTAACAGTCTTCTAAGAAGATTTCACAGAGACAAAGGGGAGCAACAAAAACAAAAGACAAGGCTATGTGGAGGAGGAGGCAGAGATCGGGAGCCCAAAGTCCCGGTCATCACCAGAGACTGCTCAGAGGCAGGAAGCAGCTTCTCTGCTAAGTCCTGGCTCCAAACTGTGAGAGCCGTTTTTGTTTTTAAACCACCAAATCTGGGGTGATTTATTCCAAGAGCCTTGCAAACTAACACATATATGATGAAGGCAAAGCCGTACACAGTGTGGAGAGGAGGGAGGAAGATCTAAGCAGTGTAACAGGAAGCCCACGCTTTGTGTACCGTACAAAGTCAAAGAACACTTACTAGTGTGAAAGAGTATCAGAAGTGGGGGAATTCCTAAGTTCACAAACATCCCAGCCTTCTTCTTCCTCAGCCTCCATGCATCTGGCCCTGAGGCAGCTCTTGCAGTGACCTCCTACTCAGGAGAGTCCCGCCATGCATTGCACCCTCCTGGCCTTCCCGCAGCAGCTCTGGTCACCTGGTGGCTTTTCTTCCACCGCTGCCCACTGGAATCTGAGCAGGATTTCAGCATCTTGCCCCTGTGTCTTTGCCGGTCACCCACTTTTCCACTGTAAGCTCCCCCTGGACTCCCACAACACTCTGCGGAATTGGTATTCATGATACAGGACCCTGTTCCCAGATAAGCTTCTTTCATACAGAAGACACACGCCATGTTTTAGGTGAATGGAAAAGATCATCTAATAATGTTCATGTATGCAATAGAAAAGCAAACAGAAGGCAGGAGACATGAAGAATTCTTTCTAGATTCATTTAACATGAAAAAATGAACAGACTGAGCTTGCAGAGGGCACAAGGCACATGACAGCTACACAGCATACACACTGCTCAAAAGCCCCAGACCCCATCGCTCTTCTGCTACTGTGCGACTGTGGGGAAGCCATTTGCTCTGAGCCTCCTCTCTGGAAAAGTGGAATCCTTCAAGGAAATGTGCAGAGTTCCTGTATGTACCAGTTAGGGCAATGCACTGTAATGACTGACATTGTCAGCTATGCAGTTTTCTATACACAACCCACAAAGCAGAGGAGACCAATGATATCCCAGACCAGTGGCGGAACGCTCCCCTAAATTTTTTGAAAATAAATTTTCTATATTGCTTTTATCCAAAAATCTAATTACATAGGAAAAAAGTTGACCTATTTATGACAATACCAAGTTTTCCAACTTAACTCTGTATAACGTTATTGTGAAAATACTTGTTCAAATGAGCGAAGTGTAAGAATGGGAATAATTGATCATGAACTGTGAAAACAGAATGACATTCCGTAGCAAGAAAACTCAGATCCAAAGGCTGGAAGTGCCCCATTCATTTGCCTCAGCAGTAGGTGCCTCAGACTAAACGTTTTTCCCTAATTACGTTTTAATCAGGGAAACAATCTTACTGCAGCAATTGCTTTACTTTCTCAACAGAAATTTAATATAGTTATACAGAACCTGGCCCATCTGCTTACATCATACCATAGACAGAAGAGGAATGGTAACATACGGGGAAAAGACTATGAAGAATGGGCAAAAATTAATAACATTGTTAGGATAAATAAAAGCACATAAATTTAAAGAAGACAAAGAAAATCAGGCATTTTACAGTCTCTGCTTTGCTGACCACCACAATGGAGGGGAAAAACATCCAAACAGTAAATGACAAATCTGTCTCCTGGATTTTTGATTCCAGGGGCTCTGAGAATAAACTTCACCATAGTACTTTAAGTTTTCTGTTTAAAATGCACAATTTTGTAGATTTTCACTAAAGACTAGTTCACAGCTATCACTTTAAATCCTGCCAAATATAAATTCTAAATCCCCCTGGCATATTGATAGTAATAGCTGATGTTAAATTCTTATTGCACACTGGCTCTTATCTAGATGTTTTCCATGACTTCATTCAACCAACTGCAATAACCTTACATACAAATTTTGGAGAAAGAACTAAGAAATACAGGCTAAATAATTTTCCCCAGTCACTAAGCAAGATGAAATAGAGGCAAGATTAAACTATGTATTCTGGCTCCAGTAGTGCTACCCAAGAGAGCATGCTGTGATCCATATATGTAATTCTAAATTTACTAAGAGCCACATTCAAATATGAAAGTAGGCAGAATTTATCTTTAAGTTGTAACTTAACCCCGCATATATGAAATACTGTCATATAATCAAGTATCTCAGTTCACAACCTTAATTCTTCCCACAATTCTGATCACAAACTTAATTGGACAAGAACCAAAACAAATTCAAGGGTTAGGTTCAATGCTGACCTTATGGAGACATTTGACTAGGTTCTTGTCCAATCTCATAAGATGTTAATGAGATATTTTATACACCTCTTTATGTACTAAGTCTTCAAAATCTGGTGTTTATTTTATAACCACAGCCTACGAGGTATGATCAAATACATATGAATATTTTAAAAAAATACTACAGGAGAAGATACAATGTCATTAACTGTCCTCAAAATATGTCCCCTTTCTTTAAACACACTGAGCCCGTCAGTGTCGCCCCTTCCTGCAGCACTTCTGGACATCTTTGTGAGTGTCTTTAGTCGCACTGTCATGGCTGCTTTGGTGTCCTGAATCAATTCAAGGTGTTTTCCTTGCATGACTCTGGGGAAGGGTCAGACACGGTTCCAGATCTGGTGAACACGGTAGATGGGGACGCACTGCGATGTCTTTACGAGCCCGCCTTTCCTTTGGACGGTACCTGGTGGCAGTGCTCACAGTATGTCATCCTTTCTCATTAAAGGGACATCCAGAACTGCTTTAGAAAGCAGCAAGAATCATGGGACACGTGTGTTCCAGCTGAGGGAGAATATTTTGAGGGGACCAATGACAATGTGTCTTTCACTGCAGTAAATGCTTTAACGTTAAATATCCCGCATATGCAGTGTTTTGATCATACTTCCTATTTCAGTTCGGACTCCCCTCATTTCAAGTGCTCAGTAGCAACTGGTAGCCTGCAGCTCCAGGGTTGGTGGCGGTAATTCTAGAGCCTGCTCTCTTTACTGAAACGCTACCAGAAGCAATCGGTGGTAAAGGTCCTTGTCACCACTGTTAGCAAAATTTTCTCCCAAACATTAAGTAGTGACACTCCAGCAAACTTCTCCTGAACGCTGACAAAGGACTTCTCCTAGGGGCAGAGCATGGATCTGTCTCCTGACCAGGGGAATAAAGAGAAAAGACAGGGGAGGCTTGCCGGCTGCACCTTCATAAGATAGGGTTCTCTAAGCTTGGGGCTCCTCAGCTCTGATGCAGCCTGCTGTGGTTACAGTCCGTGCCCCACTGCGGCCCTCAGCATCTCTCCCATGGACTTGCAGCTCGGAGGAGGGAGAGCACCCCTGAGCTTCTGTGCGGCTGTGCCGGGAGTACGAACATCTTCCGCCTCTAACCCAGGAATCTGTGTCTTCTGCCAGCCTCCGTGAAGCCGGAGGCTGATTTGCTGGTGTGACAGTAGGGGACTTCTAGGGCCCTCACAGTTCATGCCACGCCGTGTGAGTGTTGCCGGAGTTTGCATGTTCCCAGAAAAGAGAATAGTTCTGTTCTGTTATTTATATAGTTCTGACCAAGATCTCACCAATTCAAGGTTTTAGGATTAAAGCTTCTGAGAAGTAGTAGGAAAAATAAAAGCCAAACTCCTTTTCCAGCCACTGCTACTGACGATTCCCACTGCTAGGGTCTCCAAGTCTGGAACGCCTCCCTCATGGTGAACAGCTCACCATCATCTCAGTCCATTTACAAAGCAGTCACGCATACTGTACCTTTCCACAACATTTGGCTTTGTCTATAATCTTCAGGGCAAACTCCTTTCCAGTAGACCTAGGAATAATCAGAGGAAGACCAGTTAAAGACATAAACGACAGACACCAACCTTCCTAACCTTCTCCCCAGACAGGCAGGGAAGAGAAGTTTGGCAGCTTCTCAGCATCAAAGACAATGTGGGGAGGAGCCAGGAGAGGAAGATACCGGAAAAACAAACAAAACAAAACCCCAAAGCCGTGCCACAAGTGATGAACTGTCTCCTTTTATAAATATTCGTAGTTAAATTATCTTTAATTTATATTTAAATTGTTGTTCCGACCTAGACGGTTTGTCTCTATTAAATTTTTAAGAGCGTTTTCTAGGACATAGAACAAAATTAAGAAAAAAGATCAACTTGAGTGAAAACTTTTCTTATCAATGTATCTTTAACACATGGGTTGCATCATCTTGTAATTCCACCTACAAAGTCCTCAGACCTTCTTGATCTACTCCACAGCAGTACAGGGCAGTTGGGATCTGGGGTCGTGTTATACATCTTTAGGTGGCCACATCCCCATGACAGAGAGTTTGGGCACAAGAATCTTGATGTTATTACTTAATTTTTTAATCACTTTCACACAATGTGAATGTGCCGTAGCAGATCAGAGTGAAAAGTCTGACAAAGAAGTGTTCTTGGAGTATGTTCTTAGAATATGTTAGTTGTGAGTGTAGCTGCTTTTGCCAGGCAGCCAGAGTCTACACTGATAAGGCTCAGCCTGGAAGAAGAACTTTTACTGAAATTGCTCTTCCTGGGCCAGGGACTTAGCTCAGGGGTTCCACTGTCTGCCTTGCAAGCACAAGGACCCAAGTTCGATCCTGGTACCAGGGGGAAAAAAAAAAAAAAAAAAGCTTCTGAAATTGCTCTTCCTCTGTGATAATCCCAACCCTGACTCCTATCTCTGACGAGCCCTTGGAAGTCGCATTTCAGATGCTGAATGCACTACTTACGAGGCCGGTAATGTTTAGAGAACAGTGAGCTAGCCAGCTCCTGTGTACCAAAAGGAGCACTAAAACTTCCCTGGAAGATGTATCAAATTGGAAAACTGGTTTCTAGAAATTTCTGGAAAAATTTCCTCTAAAAGAGTAAAAATTAATCATCTAAGACCAGGTAGGGCAGTGATCTATACACACAAAGACTTTTAATCTGAGTCTTTTGGCTTCAATCTTATATTTACAAAAAGGCCTACAGTAGGCAGAAATTAGCCGGTTCTGACCTTAAATAGTTAACAGATCCTGAGCTCTACCCGTTAAGTGTTCATGGAGAGGACACTGTGGGAATCAAATCAGTCAGCAGCGGTACAGGCTGAGAAGGCTGCCTGGCACAGGTGTTCTGGATTTTTTAAACTAAATGACTTAACTCCTCCCCATTCCTCTCTGCCCAATGGATGAGACCTGCTACTCTCTGTCCCAGTGCACACCCAACCACGTGTATTTTGTTCAGTCATTCTGCCTGTGGGCATGCTGAACAGCTAGTCTCGAATATAGCCTGTTGGGAGGTGCAGAGAGAAACTCCCCAGAAAGGCCCGTGGTTGATTATGTTAAGAATAAATCCCAGGGAAGAAACTATGTGCAGGTGAGAGGAAGGACCCCCACTTCCCGCTCACCTTTCCATACACTCCTTGACTACGGCAAAGTTGCCATCACCAATGACCTTCCCAATCTTGTATTTCTCTAGAAGAGTCGATGATTCAGAGCACCTGTTTCCATTTACACCTGCAGAAAAGGGTACACGTAAAATCCAAAGGAAACATCAGCGTTTTATACTGATTCTAATGTGTGTGTAAAATAACAAAAAGCAATGCGTTTAACCGCTTCCTCATCGTATTCCTCAAATAGAACATCCAAGTCATCAATTTCCCTTTGACCTTGTTGGCTAGAATCAGAAACCGACAAAATCAATAATCCTAAGAAATCCCTAAAATAGCAGCTAGTACAAATAAATAAAACCTAATTAAACTTTCCAAACTCTTTTTTTAATTTTAAGAAAGGGGAAAGTGGTGGTGATGGGGATTTAATCTTAGAAATGTTCTCAAGATTTCTCGAAGATTTGCTAGTAAAGAAAATTCTATTGGATTTCTTCTTTTTTTTTTTTTTTTTTTTTGT